ACCACCCACCAAACCACCCCAACCCAACCCGAAGGCTCAGGTTTACCCTCGATTTCTAGTTGGGGGGGGTCCGGGAACATCGAAAAACACATATGGAGCCCATACCCCCCCCCAACCCGAAATTCGGGTCTTCGGGTTGGGTTGGGGTGGTCTGGTAGGTAGTCAGAGGCCTGCGCTCCCGATGGTTGACCGTCTCCCCCCTTCTTGGCCTCGGAGCGCAGGGTCTCGGAATCCTCGTCGTGCGCCTTGCCAGCGGCCGCGGCCGCGGCCACGAGCCCCGAGCCGCCCTCTGCCTCGAGGCGGAGGTGCACTGAGGCGCCGAGGTCCGCGATCTCCCCGAGAGTTGCTCAGCACCAGGCGCGCCATCGTGTTCATCATCTTGGAGGACGGCTTGCCGCCGCCGTCTCGGCCGCCACCGGCCTTGTCTGTCTTGGCCTTCTTGCCCTTCTGCTCCTCCGAAGCCGACGCGGCGCTCGCCGCTGTCGTGCCCTTGAGCCAGGACGGAGGGGCCGCGATCGGCTCGATCCGTCTCGGCCGCCACCGGCCTTGTCTGTCTTGACCTTCTTGCCCTCCTGCTCTTCCGAAGCCGACGCGGCGCTCGCCGCTGTCGTGCCCTGGAACCAGGACGGAGGGGCCGCGATCGGCTCGACGTCCATCCCCTCGATCCCGTAACTCTCTGTGCTGGTGCGGTAACAGTGGAGCGGGAAGGTGTTCGGCCAAATTAGCGACAGGCATTCTCAATGTCGGGCCCCTCGAAGTCGCAAAGGGGGCACAGGTATGACGAAGGAAGTCGTAGCGTAGCCAACGTGTGAGGCCTCCTCGTATTACGGTGCCCGCGGAACAGAGATCTCACTAAATGCCGTGAGGCTGTAATGCGCGGCGAGAAGATCTGTTGGCAGTGTATGCAGATGTTACTAGGGGTTAGAATGTGCATGAAACTCCGAAGATGGTGGTGATGTGTAATATGCACAAGTAACCTTTGCGCGACGCATATGCTCGACCACACGGAACTCCCTCGGTCACCAGTTCACAGACGAAAGGTAATTCTATTGGCGTCGGAGGGGCCTCCATTATCGGCGAAGACTCTGGTGGTCGGAATTCGGGCGGGGGAATCTGGACTGAGAAGGTCGCACTCCGAAGCTCTGTGATATCAATGCGCGTAAACTCCTCCGAGGCGTCGGTATCAACTAGCAACCTGAGATCCTCGGCTACTCGACGCAATCCCTCATACGGTAACCGACGACTACCTTGGTCCAGATCGGAGGCCACCTGTCGAGTCCACTGCGATGCCCGTTGCGACGGTCTGCCCCCGAGGTGGCTGAAATCGATCCACCTCTGCAGTGTCAAACAGAGCGCACACAATCTGACCATGTTCCCCTGGATGGCGGCTCCAGCCTTGATACAGTTTCAGTCGGCGCATGAGCATCTCCGTCTCGGTAGGGACCAGGCGCAAGCTTGTAAGCACCTCTCTGCTACTCAAAGTCTTGACGTGGGGCCCGTCATGGTTTGCAGCCGCTCCCATCATCACCACCCCCCCCAGGCGAGCCAAGCAACTATACAGGATCTCGGTATCGGTCTTGGAAAGCACGAAACTCTCGAGACAGCTCAGGAGCGAGTTCTGGACGAAACCGATGAACGAACTGCATTTCCACCGCACCCCGAGGCCCCAAGCACCTCCCAGGGAAGCAAAGCCGCCACGGGCCGCTGAACATCGACGGTAGACTTCGCTGCGCGCCGACTCCCCCATGGACAGGTAGGGCCCCAAGTACCGCACCTCGTCCTTAACCTTCCCCTCCACGCGGCATCCACGCTGATTTCGGGGTTTCGCATTGCAGGGCAAGTGTTCCAAATCAGATGGGAGGCCTTGCATCGACCGTAGTAGTTGCTTGCAGATATACCCTTTGCGCGAAAAGTGCATCAACCAATCTTGTTTGCTTGCGTTCTGGCCGTAGCCGTACTCGTACACATTCTGATTGAGGCTCTGGCCAACATCTAACAACTTAGCGATAAACTCCTCAAAGGACATCGTAGGGTTCACAATCACAATCTTGGTGATATCGTCCGCATACTTGTACAAAGATAATCAGCCCTGCGATATTCCCAACTCGCTCGAAGAAGGTGGGATTGTGGATCTGCGCTCTGCTGTTCGAACTGCCACTGGAGGATGGGGCGGGAGAACGTGCCAACGAAGGCCTTCACTGCAAACGGGTCCCCCATGGTATTGCCCACCCCTGGCTTGACGACTAACTCCACCTCCAGGGCCTCCAAACTGATCACAGCGTTCTTATACCTCTGCTGGCAGATCTGCTGGTCGTGCGCCGCGGCACTCAACCGAACCGTCTCATCAACCTCATTCCATGCCGAACTCCCGAAGGCGTTGGCCATATCTTTCAGCGTAAGGACATGGGTCCAACCGGCTTGTCTGACCCGCCAGCTCGTTGCCAAAGTTGCCATTACAGTATCCTCCCTCCTCCGAGTCTTAACACACCCGTGGTCGGACGAAGTGGGTAACGAGTGCAGTAGCGAGGCATAGTAGGCCTTGCCGATGGGCGCCATCACGTGCACAACCCTTCGCCCAAGAGGATCCGACAAGTTGTTAGTCTTCTTTATGCCCGCCCCCTCCGTCCTATGCCAGCACATGGCGTGATATCGTGCATGCGTGTCTTACTCAAGCCCACCGCGAGCAACCACTGAAACGTATCCGTACGAGGTCCAGTTACATCTGCTCCCAGTCCTTGTTGCCGATAGTGTTCTTTCATACGGCGCCCAGGCATCAGCATCATGTGCCAAAGTTCCAAGCAGGGCAGAGAAAGCAGGCACCGCGCGACGACGTGCGGCACGACGAGCAGAAGTTACGATACGATCACGATCTTCCTCGCCGAGTCCGACGGCTTCTGGCGACGGGAACCAATAGTACTGTTCATCGCGTTGGCTGCGCCAATCAGCCCAGTCATGCTCTACCGCCGACGTCCCACCTGCAGCCCCCTCCTTACTCCATACGTCGATCCAAGCCTCGGCGGTCGGGGGCGCTCCTTTCACCAGCAGGCCGTCCCTCTTCTGCGGACCTCTACGTGCTCTGACGGCCCGTCCTGTGAGGCGCATCGCTTCGGCTGGTCGACCTCGGCTCCAGTGTTCTGAAGCTTCTGAAACAAGTTGGGACCTATGTTCGCGAGCGTGTCGACGGGGAACCTGTTTAAGTTCGTTCGGAAGGCGCTTCAACTCAACACCTATCTCCAGAATATCCTGAGGTCGCGCGGTCATCTTCGCTCCACGTGCCTCCACTCGCCGTTGTCATAGTCGTCGACGCTCTTCGCATCGTAAGCGATAGCGTTCGTCAGTCACAGAACTCGCTGGAAAAACGTGCTGCCCTGCGGTAATGAGGCTCCGCCCGATGGTTTCGAAAATCTCGTCGGGGGACCCGTTGTCTTTCAGCCATGGCAGTGGGGCTCGATCAAGTTCCACTTTAGCGGCCTCCAGAAACCCACGACGACGGTGACCCCGACGAAGCGCAATCATCATCTTATCAACGTCCCACCGGGGTTTCGTCTGTTCAGCTGTCGGTCCCTCGGGATGCTTACAGTATGCCATTGTACACGAAATGGGCAGATGGTCGCGGGGAGACGGACCCGTGACCGCTTGCAGATTTGCCCCCAAATGGTGAAGGGCGTGACATTGTTCGACGTGCTCTTTCATACCCGATGGGTAAACCTGATAATCTATCCTAGAGCTCCCCCCGCCGTTGCCGAAGAACGTAGGCACCACCTCGTCCCCCTCCGTGCTCCCCGCGAAGAAACCATGTGGGCCCAAAACTTCCCGACGCCTCTCTCCTGCACCTCCTCGACAGCGCTCCTGACCGGCAGCTTCCACGACCGACGAAGCGACAGCAAACTATTGCGCCCAGGGGGAATCCCAAGCCCGTCCTTATGAAGGGAAACTGGGACACACAAACAAATACACACAAATAAAAATATCCTCCATATTTTCCTGTATTTTTCTGGGTTTTGTCTTCCCCCCCACTTCCCATATTTTCCCATATTTTCTGGGAATCGCAGATTAATTGTGTCTGTGTGTTTCTTTTCCTCCTGACCTTCGCATCACAGAAGATGAACGGCGTGCGCCTGACGGGGAGGGACCCGAGGACGCGCTCCAGCCAACTGATCAGCAAGCTCACCGTCGTGAGGCAGCGGGGTCTCTGTGCCGAGGAGGGATGGCCGAGGAGGGAAGGACAGACAATATAGCACAGACGTCGTACCGCCCCCTCTTGACGGCGACTCCCAGGGCCCGACCTCCTTGGCTTCAGGAGGCGGAGGCCAGAACTGGTGGACGTGCCGATCCTGAATCCCGTTGCCGAAGATCACCGAACACCCACAGCTCGAATTACTCCAAGGCGAGTGCGGGCCCCACGGGGCCTCCACGGCCAGGCGTCCCGCAACCTGGCGACACGTATCGACACTTCCCGAATACTGTTGACAACGGTCCCGGTCTTGGGTCCCCGCCAGAATACTGATGTCGTAGTTCTTGGCTTCCAAGATGACCTCCTCCAAGCGAGAGCCCGAGCACCACATTGGAATCCATCCGAGGAGGCGAAGCTGAGTCATCGCCCGCCGCCCAGCCGCCACATGAGGGAGTTAGGTAATCTGGTACCGAGCTTGCTGGGGGAGTGTTGGGCACCCAGCAAGAAACTGCCTCAATCTCCTGTCTCACCCACGCGCGGTGAGACCTCGTGCCCGTGGGCTGAGGTAAGAAGAGGAGGAGGAGGAGGAGGAGGAGGTGTAGGAGGAGGAGGAGGAGGAACAGGAGGAGGAGGAGGAGCAGGAGGAGGAGGGTGGAGGAGGAGGAGGAGGAGGAGGAGGACGAGGAGAAAGAGGAGAAAGAGGAGGAAGAGGTGGAGGGGGAGGAAGAGCAGCAGGAGGAGCCGGAGGGGGAGGAGGATGAGGAGGAGCGAGGAGCGAGGAGGAGGAGGAGCGAGGAGGAGGATGGGGCGAGGCGGGGTGCGCGAGGAACGCCAGCCGCTGGTGCGCGAGGAGCGCCAGCCCCTCTCGGCCGAGTTCCCGTCGCCCATACGGCCGCCGCGGCGGCCGTCGCCGCAGAGGCTGCCCGCCGCCGAGGCGGCCGCCGCGGCCCCTTCCGCCACGGCCTCGACTCCGGCGCGGCCGTCGCAGGGCGGGTCGCAGGCGCCGCCCTCGCACGACGACGACGCCGCCCGACGCCGACCTCGACGACGACGACGACGACGGCGACGGCGACGACGGCGACGAGGGCGACAAGGACGACGACGACGACGACGACGTCCGAAGACGACGACGCCTGCTGCCCACAGTCCTCCTCGGCCGACCCCCCCACCTCGCCAACGTGTGCGGGGCGCCGCGCCTCTGACGCACGGGCTTGTGATCATTTTCGGATCCACCGTTTTGCCGATCGGCTCGGGCCCTCGCACCCGCCCCCCTTTCCCCCCCGCCCCCAATGGAGTAGATCGTGGCTGTTCTTGGCGCCTGTCTCAAGCAGGTGGGCTCTCCCCCAAAAAAACGCAGTGTTGCAAACAGTCGCGCCAACCAGAGGTCTCGAGGCACCCCCCCCCCGTTCCGCCCAGTGTCGAGACGCCGAAGAAGAACACATTCGCCTTGGAATCTCAGAGGAGGAAAAGGTGCCCATAACGCTACGTTTCGTTCGCCTCTTTTCCTTCCTCTGGGCCTCCTGGGAGGTCCTCGTCGCCACCGCTTGATTTGCCTCGAACTCCTGGTCAGGACGCACCCCGGGAAGGGCTGGTGAGTAGCGGTATGGGTTCCTTTTGGTTTCCCCAGGAATGGGGTATACATCCGCTCCCTAGGTAAGTCGGGCATGTCCCTCCACAGGAGGAATATTCAAAAATAGTCAAAAATAGTCTGGGGACGATTCTCTGCATATTTTCGACTGTGTTGGAATATGTTTGGGGTATTTGTCAGTTCTCGTCCCAAATCCGCATGTACAGTGAGCGGCTTGAATAAGGAACACTTACCTTTCAAAAGGGGCCCGGTCGTTCCTCAGGCTTGCATGCGTTATGTATTGCTCTCTATGCGTTATGTATCATCCATCTATCGTTCCTCATGCACTTTTCCTGGGAAAAAAGGGCGATGACTGTAGGAGGACACGCCCGACCTGACTCCAGAGCTTCCCGGTGCCTTCCGGGACGCTCTGGGGGACGGCGTCGGCGCCCGGCCCCTCCCGTCCCCTCTCTTTCGGTGGAGGGGTTTCTTCGAAAGGTTTAGGCGACCCGTTCTCCTCCTCCTCCTCCTCCTCCTCCTCCTCCTCCTCCTCCTCCTCCTCCTCCTCCTCCTCCTCCCTCCCCCTCCTCGTCCATCTCCTCCTCCCCTTCCCCCTCCTCCACCACCACGGAGGACCTTCTCCTCCTTCTCCTCGGGTCGCCCGCGGCCCCGGGGAAACCGTGCACCCTTCGGTCGCAACTCATGGGATCCTCGAGTGTCTTCGCAATTCCATCCCTAGAGTGCGCTCACGCGCGCTAGCTTCTGTTAATCGATAACGAAAGCGCCGATTTAGCGTCGATTGGCGCCGACGAGCGTCGACTAGCGTTGACTCGCGTCGGGCAGCTTCGATTTGCAAGGGCCAGCAATATGGCCTGGTAGGCTCTCGTGAGTTGCCACCGAACCGGGGGGCGGCTACAGCGGCCACCTCCCCATTCCTCAACCCCGCCTACCGCGATCCTGCGGGCCTCATCTAGGGGGAAACCGCACGCGTTCCCTTTGGGGGTCATGCTTGGAGGCCTCGTGGGAGCTTGCACTGGGTGGGCTTGCGATTTGCCTTCTGACCCGCCATCGGGCCTGTGTGGCGGGGGCTTCCAGGCTTCACTAGATCTTACGGGTGGGCGAACACACCAAGACCCAGACCTTCGACACCACAAAACCCCCGTCACGGATGATTCTCCTGCCGCTATTCGAGGAGCATGGCTCAGGAGGAGGAGGAGGAGGAGGAGGAGGAGGAGGAGGTGGAGGAGGAGGAGGAGGAGGTGGAGGAGGAGGAGGAGTGGAGGAGGAGGAGGAGGTGGAGGAGGAGGAGGAGTGGAGGAGGAGGAGGAGGGAGGAGGAGGAGGAGAGGAGGAGGGAGGAGGAGGAGGAAGAGGAGGAGGAGGAGGAGGAAAAGAAGGAGGGAAGAGGAAGGGTGGAGGACGGCGAGGATGAGAAGGAGTGGGGCAGCAGCAGGAGCTCGCCTGCCCCCAGGCGGCAGGCTCGTGGCGCGTCGACGCCCCGTAGCGGCCCCGGCGCGGGAGGGCGAGGCTGAACGCCGCTGGAGGCCCAGTGGTGGCCGAGGTGGCGCGACCTGCGCCACGATAGGCTGCGATCGTCTTGGGTCGAAGGTCCATGAGGTTCCTCCTCCTCCTCCTCCTCCTCCTCCTCTTCCTCCTTCTCCTCCTCCTCCCCCTCCTCCTCCCCCCCAGGGTGAGGCCTGGCACTTGTTTTCATGGTGTCAGTGCCGAGCACCCTCGGGGCACGCTGCACACGGCACTTCATTTGCAGGTTGGGCGGTGTGCAACCGGCCGATTTTTCTGGATCTGCGGGCTTTGGGGTTTGGAGTGGACGTTGCGAAACTTGTATCGGCGTGTCTCCCGTCGTTGGGTGTAGCACGGCCCCAGTCTCAGCCTGGCCCTGCGGGTGAAGGCGGGTATCGGCGTCTGTGCGGTCATTTCGTTGTGATCTGTCCTTCAGGGATCGGCATTTCCTCGGGAGGCGGTGGCTTGTACCACGTAAGTCCCAAGGGGCCTTGTGTTCACCCAGGGCTGGGGAGTTTGTGCTCCTCGGTATGCCGTGCCAGCTGTTCCGACTGGGATGCGTTTGGCTCCCAACGCACCATGTCGGAACCGTTGGGCCGCGAGTCTTCACAGGCGACGCGGTCGCCCACTGTGCCCTTCCTGCGCAGCTGTTGCTGCTCTCCGGGCGGTAGTTCGTTGGCTGGGCATGTGCAATGCACGGGCGGCTTCCCGTAGACCGAGACTGGGCGCCGGACTTCCCCCTCCTTCTCCTCCTCCGCGTCCTCCTCCTCCTCCGCCTCCTCCTTCTCCTGATTCTCCTCCACCTCCTCCTCGTTCTCCTCCTCCTCCTCCCCCTCCGGCCCCCCCAAGAACAGGGCGCAGGGCCGACGGATGGGGTCCCTCAGCCCTCCCGCAGCGCCAGGGCCGCGCTGCGAGGCGGGCGATGGCGGCTGCCGCTGCTATCTCGAGGTCTCGCATTGGCAGGTCTGTCGGGACCTTGTCGCGGCCCATCTGGGTCTTCAACCCGCTGTCGGCGCTGAGGGGGGGGGGCAGGTCCGAGGACATTGCAGGCGAGGCCGGCAACTTCGACGTGCTCGCTTTTGTTTTCACAGCCCAAGGCGCCCCCTGGCTACCTCCGTGGGCCCCAGGCAGATGCTCGCGCAAAATTGATCATTGATTCTGGCTGGGGGCCAGGAGTTCCCACGCATGAACTGGCTGGGTGGAGGCCCTTGTGGGGCAGACGTTCTGATGGGGCGCGCCTCCGAAAAGTATGTCAGGCGCTTGCAGTGCTGCGAGGTCGTGATTTAGCAGCCAGATGCAAGACTGGGCAGATGGACATTGCAGCTATTGCAATGCTTTTCCCTTCGCGACCTCAGACAGCCAAGGCTGGGGCGCGCTGCCGAGAGACTTCCGCGCGCGCATGACTGTGGCTGGACCAGGTATTGTTGCACCCCCCGTACTCGTCGCTGCCACTCGTCCTCGCGGACCGATGTCGGCAGCGGCGTCAGTGGCGAGGCTAACGCTACAAAGGAATTCACCAAAGGCGCGGGAGAGCAGCTACGAGACGCTCTTCATAGGGCAGCTCTCGCAGCTCATAGCGACACGTTGGACCCCGCATTGTTCGGCAGCGCTGGCGGCACGCCCAGGCTCGACTACATCGCGGGCCCCGCGGCGTGGAAGGATGCCCGTGCGAAGCCCGCGCCGCCCCCGGAGACGGGAAGGCGTCTGCAGTGCGTTCCAGGCCGACAGCTACGCGACCATGTCCTTGTGCAAGCGAACATCTAGTTTGATGAGCTTGCTACTTGCGATGCTCCGGAATCACAGCTGCGGCGGGGCCGAGGGTCGCTAGTGCACGCCCTGCGGCGCGGAGATAAAACAAACGTGCGTATCTCACAAAGCTTCGCGCAGTGTTGCGGCACGATCTGTCGCGCTGGGTTCAATTGGGATTGCGAACAAGCGCGACTCGCAGTGCTGCGACGGCGCAGGGATCTACGAGTAGCCACGCGGGTAACTGGCGCTACAAGAAAAGAAGCCGAAGCTCAACTCAAGGCGCTTTCACGGGAACGCGAACGGGCACCTTCGGAAGTGCGCCCACAAACTTGAGGCGCGATTGCTGAGGAGATTTGTGAACATTGGGAGGCGCGCAGGTTTGGTCGAGCATGCAGGGCGACCATCAGATTGGGCAACGCACAAACGGGCCGTGAGGTTTACGTCTGGCTATCCGACGAAGGCCGAGTGGATGCAAGCGCCCGAGAAACCAGGGCGCGAATGAGGACTTGGCGCAGTGGAGATCACGCACCGCCCGCGCGTGCAGGTGGAGCTCGACTGCGGAGAATTTCCAAACGGTTTGCCTCGTATACCAGACCCCTTGCTTGTATCATGCGGCGGACGATCCAGCTCAGCTACTTGTGCTTAACGACGAGCATGCTACCAGTGCATCCCTGGAAAGCCAGTGCGACATGAAGATGCTGTAGTGGTGGCTCTGGGCGACGCCGAAGAGAAAAGCGTTTCCCGCGCGATCGCCACCCGCCGAATTCTTTAGGGTGACGTTGCGCCCGCGACGGGATCAGGAGTTGACTGGAGTTGGCTTCGATTTGGAAGATACAGACAACAGTCGCACTGAGGCTCGCGTGCGCATGGCTGTTTTAAATGTCAGAGATCACCTTATGTAGCCGTTGGACCGACGCATCAGTGACTATTTCGCCGCCGAGAAGAGCGGGCGACCATAATCCAAAGGGCCGACATCTTGCGCGCAGCCCCCGAGTGTTGGGCAAAGGCTTCTTTTCTTCTTGCATCCGAGCGCGCCGGCCAGGCCTTGTCCCACCTGGGCATCGCGGATGTGCTGCAGGACGCCGGCGAGAGACAGCGACGCGGGCTTTCACGGGGGCGGTTCGCGCGCTTAGGCAGCTCAAGTGCCCCGTCGTGGACAGCATCGCAGATGTGACGAATGCTTGGGATGCGAGTGCATGGAGAAAATTGCGTCTAAATTGGTGAGAGATCGTGGTACACGAGTTGCTCTACAACCTATTCGACGCGCGCATCTGTTATTACCAGCAGCTGAATGCACGCTTCACTTCGGATCGGCAGAAGGAGACCTCATGGGGGGCTCATTCCTTGGTGCACTGCTTCCCCCGTGCCCTCACCCATGCCATCGAGCCATGGGCGTCCCAGTGGAGAACCGCAGATGACGCGGACAAGAAGCGAGTGGTAAACTGCTCTACCAGCATGGCCGAGGTGGACGTACATGCGCACCTGTACGTGGGCGATAGCAGCAAGAAGGTACTGCGGCACACCTGCTGAGAAGGAAAAACGCTAACCCCGACAAGTTGAGAAGCAATCCCGTCCACTGCGACCAGATCACGGGCGATAGCCTCATCAACGCTGGCATGGCCCAGCACGCGACCAAACGTGTGAATCTGATGGCCATGCACGGAATGGGGAGTGGAATTGCATGTCGAGGTCTGCGGCTTCGGGAACAACGAGATAGGTGGCCTTGCCAATTTGTTGTCCCAGCAAGGTGTTTGGGCCACATCATTACTAGTATCCAGAGTTTCGGTATTGAGTTGGCCAAGAGAGTGCAGGCGGCCAAAGCAGCTTGTTATTCAATGGGCTGTTTCTGGGGTGTGGCATGTATACCATGGAGATGAAGGCGCACCGTGCTGTTGGGGCGACTGGTGAACGCCGCCTTCCCTGTCGTGGAGGTTTTCCTGCCAACCGTGCGCCTGTGCGACGCACTCGACGGGGTCACTGCTTCTTTTGTGCGAAATGCTATGGGAGGCCGCGCTTGCACATGGAACGAAGACGGTGCGGTGCGATCTTTGAGTCATTACGAAGTCGTTGCCCAGTCGGAAACTGTCAGAGCTGAAAGCGAGCTTCGAGTGAGGAGATTGAAGTGATTGCAGCAGGCGGCCAAAGGCAAACCACACCGTCCAGTTCTTTGCGGCTTCTTTTGGCGCCACCAGTGGTCAGCAATAATTCCGAAGAGTTCTACACAGCTAGAAGGATCGAGGGCGGATCGAGGACGGTTTCTTCCCAACACAGGGCTTTCGCTTGAATGACCGATACACGGGGCGATCGTCTGCTCAAGGGGGCGCTTCTTGCAACGAACAGGCATGTGGGCCAACTTTTCATCCCCGTGCGATGCAGGTCGTTGCCATGGGGGGGGGGGCGAGGGGGTTGGTAACGCTCCGATCCGCACCGGCGCCGTCTTGGGAATCAGTTACCTGTAACCATTCCCAAACGACGCTGGCGCAAACCGTGATGTTACCTGGTGGGGGTGAGGGGGTGAACATCCCCAGCAACGGTCGTTATCGCGAGCCGAAAAAGACGCACTCTTGGACTTGATTGGGTGGAGACGATGGCCGGGAGAATGTGTTCCAGCATCGTCGGTGCATTCCGGGCTTATTAAGGTCTTCTTCCGCCTCTTCTTCCACCTTCTCCTCATCCTCCTTCCTCCCTTTCTCTTTGTCCACCTTCTCTGTCTCTTCCTCCCTCCCTCCCTCCTCTTTCAAGTCTGTGGGTCCTCCTGTTCCTCGTTGTGTTTGCCGGCCGTTGACCCCCCGCGCTCGGCAAAGCATCCGTTGCCGAGACCCGACTCCGCGCGACCTCGGGGTCGTCGCTCGGACGCGCCCTGGCCACGCAGCGCGTGCCGCATGGGGAGGCGGAGTGGAGGCACAGCCTTTCTCTCCTAATTCTCCCCTCCTCCGCCTCCTCCTCCTCCTCCTCCTCCTCCTCCTCCGCGGGCGCGCGAGGGGGAGGGCGGAGGGGGGTTGCGGGGTGGCAGCGCGCATCGGGCGATCGCAAGCATGGATCAAAGGGGACGTGGATGAGCGACGGGTCTCGTTTCCATGGGAAATCGCGCATTGCCGCCGCCGAGCGAGGCGGCACCGGCCGCATTCTGGGGAGGGCACCTCCCCTGGTCCATGGATTCGGCGCGCGGTCGCCAAATCCATGGATCGCTAGTCCGAAGTCGGGCAAGTCCCTCTACAGGAGGAGTTTTCAAAAATGGTAAAACAATTGGTCAGGGGACGATGTTTTGTATTTCTTTGATTTTTGTTTCATATGTTTTGGAATAGCTTTTATGTTTCGTCCAAAATCCGCCTGTAGGGGGACATGCCCGACCTAACGCTAATCCATGCTTGCGCGCCCCCGAAAGCAGGGGGGGGGGCTGGCAGAGGCACTGCCCGCGCGCCGCCATGCCCCTGGCAGGTGCCGCAGACGGACTCCCACAGGGCCCTGCCGTCCGCCATCCCGAGCAGGGAGCCGGACCCCTTCAAGAGCATGTGGGCCCCTGCCCCTCCTCCTCCTCCTGCTGCTGCTCCTCCTCCGCCTCCTCCTCCGCCTCCTCCTCCTCCTCTTCCTCGTTCTCTCTCCTCCCCCTCCTCCTCCTCATCTTTTCGCCTTCTTCCTCCTCCTTCTCCTCCTCTTCCTCGTCCTCTCGCCGCCAGGCCATGACTGGGGCTGGGGCGGCGATCGTGGGAGGCGCTTCCGTTTCTTGCCAGGGGTTTTGCGCCATTCCGCCGATCCCCAGAAGAGGCAGGGAGTCCACGGTCAGGGCGTCGAGGGCTTCTCGGGCCTTTCCTGTGGGCTCCTGTGGGCGCCTTGGGAAGTGCTTGTGGGCGTGGCTGAGCCTCTTGGAGGCAGTGTTGAACCTGAGGCTTCTGCGGGGCCTCTTAGGGCGGAAAGATATATGGGATTGGATTTTCGGTTCGTGGTCTCTGTCTTGGCCTCTCTTGGGGCGATCTTTGGCCGTCTTGGGCGCCTTTTTGGGTCGTCTTCGAGCCCTCTTGAGCTGTCCCGGGGCCTCTTGGGCAGTCGTGGAGCGTCGGAAGCCCGAGAAGACTATACCCTAAACAGAACGGAAAAACAAAGGATGAACATGGTTTTTTCCCTCTCAGGGCCCTCTTGGGAAGGCTCTTGGGCCTCTCTTGGGGCGTCTCGAAGGCGTCTTGGGGCGTATTGGAGCCATCGTGGCGTCTTGGGCCATTCGGCGATTCGGGACCGTCTTGGCACGTCTTTGAGGCCACGGAGCCTCCAGGAGTGCGCCGGCGAGCCAAGATGCCGCCCCCCCCTCAAACCACATTTTTGGATCTTGGGGGGCTATTCCGTTTCTTTGCGGCGGCGGCGGGACCAAGTACGCGAGCGTAGCTTTCTGGATCCGAATCTTAGTTTGTGTTGTTGTTCCTTTTGTATTTGTTTGTTCCCAACATGTTTAGTGGGGTTCCGGTTGTATTCCATGCCTCGTCGCACCCGCGCTCACTCACCTCACCTCCCTCTTCCCCTTCTCACACAGCGCAGCACAGCACAGCACAGCACTGCACTGCACTGCTCAGCATAGCTCAGCACAGCTCAGCTCAGCACAGCACAGACACAGCACAGCATAGCACAGCTCAGCTAAGCATAGCAGGGCATAGCAGGTATGGCATTTTCTCGACACCACAAGGGGTGCGCAGGGGGTGGTCCCTCAGCACGGCCTCTATGCACGACGGTCGTCCAGGGCATAGCAGGCGTGGCATTTTCTCGACACCATAGGGGGTACGCAGGGGGTGGTCCCTCAGCGCGGCCGCTATACACGACGGTCAGCGCGGCCGCTATACACGACGGTCGTCCAGGCCATGGCAGGCGTGGCATTTTCTCGACACCATAGGGGGTGCGCAGGGGGTGGTCCCTCAGCGCGGCCGCTATGCACGACGATCGTCCAGGGCATAGCAGGCGTGGCATTTTCTCTACACCATAGGGGGTGCGCAGGGGGTGGTCCCTCAGCGGGGCCGCTATACACGACGGTCGTCCAGGGCATAGCAGGCGTGGCCTTTCCTCGACACCATGGGGGTGCGCAGGGGGTGGTCCCTCAGCGCGGCCGCTATGCACGACGGTCGTCCAGGGCATAGCAGGCGTGGCATTTCTCGACACCATAGGGGGTGCGCAGGGGGTGGTCCCTCAGCGCGGCCGCTATGCACGACGGTCGTCCAGGGCATAGCAGGCGTGGCATTTTCTCGACACATAAGGGTGCGCAGGGGGTGGTCCCTCACCGCGGCCGCTATGCACGACGGTCGTCCAGGACATAGCAGGCGTGGCTTTTTCTCGACACCATTGGGGGTGCGCAGGGGGTGGTCCCTCAGCGCGGCCGCTATGCACGACGGTCGTCCAGGGCCTAGCAGGCGTGGCATTTTCTCGACGCCATAGGGGGTGCGCAGGGGGTGGTCCCTCAGCGCGGCCGCTATGCACGACAGTCGTCCAGGGCATAGCAGGCGTGGCATTTTCTCGACACCATAGGGGGTACGCAGGGGGTGGTCCCTCAGCGCGGCCGCTATGCACGACGGTCGTCCAGGGCATAGCAAGCGTGCCATTTCCTCGACACCATAGGGGGTGCGCAGGGGGTGGTCCCTGACCGCGGCCGCTGGCTGGCTCGAATATGTCCTCGATGGAGGATAGAAGGCTAGGAAGAGGGAGGAGGTTCAACCAATGTGGCGTTGGATGACACATAGGGGAACATTCGCGACGAGGGCTCAGAACGCAGAATTGCGCATATATTTTAGAAACTTGAGCAGGCACATAAGATTTAGATCAAGTAGGTGGGGTTCCTCGGTAGCGTAATTATTGTTCCCGAGGAGGTGGTGCATGTCACGTGTTTGAGCGTTCGCTCCAGCTGCAACGTGATCTGCACGCGGCCGCGCACGCCGAGCACCACCTAGAAAATGCAATGGCCTCCTCCTCCTCCTCCTCCTCCTCCTCCTCCTACTCCTCCTCGCTCCTCCTCGCTCCTCCTCCTCGCTCCTCGCTCCTCCTCCTCGCCATGCAACGACCTTTGGCTCTGCTGAATCTTAAGTCGGGCCTATCCCTCTACAGGGGGATTCTACAAAGATGGTCAAACAATAGTCGGGGGATTTTTTTTTGAATAGTGCTTGGATGTTGCTCGAATACTTGTGGGCTATCTTTTGACTATTTTGATGTCAGGGAACTTGCCTGTTTCGAAGATTTGTGGACTATTTCTTATTTTTCGTCCAGAATCCGCCTGCAGGGGGGCCTGCCCGACCGAAGGACAGGCATAGGGGGGGGGACGCATCGCTCCCCAGTCCTCACGCTTGCGTGCCGCGTGACGGGTGCATATCTTCGACGCGGCTGCGCTCTGCGGAGGGCTGCCCTCTGCATCGCGCTTTCTTCACAAGTCCACTTCCGCAGGCGTGGACCTCTGGGAGGCCCTGCCCACCTCTCTCACCAGCCTCGAACTTGTCCCTACCCCTACGACTGACACGCCAAAAGGCGATGACAACCTCAGGGGTGCGTCCTTAAAAAAATAAAGGAATCCCTGAGATTGGCATCGTGATGAGGAGATGCCCGGCATAGGGATAGGGATATCTTCTAGGCTGCCCACCTCTCCCGTGCACGCCGTTGGGGTCGGCTGCGCCCTTTTTGGGCTTGGGCCAGGGGCGCCCCTGGGCCAACGCAGGGCAAATCGTGCCTGCGCGCCTGTGTTGATGCGTCCTCCTCCTCCTCCTCCTCGCTCCTCCTCCTCCTCGCTCCTCCTCGCTCCTCGCTCCTCCTCCTCCTCCTCCTCCTCCTTCTCGCTCCTCCTCGCTCCTCCCCTCCTCCTCTCCTCCTCTCCTCCTCCTCCTCCTCCTCCTCCTCCTCCTACTCCTTCTCGCTCCTCCTCGCTCCTCCTCCTCCTCCTCCTCCTCTCCTCCTCTCCTCCTCCTCCTCTCCTCCCCCCCTCCTCCTCCTCCTCCTCTCAATCCTCATCCTCGTGCTCCTCGGAGGTCCGCGCGGATTTCTCCGATCGGCGCTGGGGCCCCCCGGCGGCGCCTCCGGCGCCGCCCCTGGCGCGCTCCGCCGCGCCAGGGAGGGGGGTCCATCGCCGATCCGAGAAATCCGCGGACCATCCTCCTCCTCCTCCTCCTCCTCCTCTCCTCCTCCTTCCTCCTCCTCCTCCTCCTCCTCCTCCTCCTCTCAATCCTCCTCCCCTCTCTCGTCTAATCGTCTAGCTCCAGCGTCTCAGACCTTAGCTGTTTAGTGTCGCTATGCCGTCACTTTACCCGCCAGGTCACCGTCCACTGAGTGCGCTTGCCCACTGCAGGTCGGCGCACGTCGCGTTCCGCGTCTGCCTGGCAAGCCTTGACGCACCGCGCATCTCAACCAGCCCATCCAGAAGCAGGCACCAGGCGAATTGTTCTGATCAAAGATTTGTAGCATGATGACGGTGATGCTCACGACCAGGACTAGTAATACGGCTCGGACGAGTTGACTGCGACTACGAGGTTAGGGAGCGACGGCCGGCAACCACTCACCCAAAGCAGCCACGGGCTCCTTGTGCGTCTGATGAGTGGCGTCCGCGTCGTGGTGTGTTTTTTTCGCGGCTCATCGTGGATGTGTTGGTTGAGTGGTTGCTTGTCGCTGCCAGCGGTGCCTTGATTACGACGTGTGTGCCCAGGGCCGCCACGGCCGCCACCGCGGCCGCCGTGGCCGCTGCGGTTGTCGCCGCCGCGACGGCCACGACCACGACGGCGACGACGAGTCAATATCAAGACCTTTACGATCTGTCGCTCTTGGGGCCATGATGGAGTCCTCTTTGGGCTCACGTGGGACTCTCTTGGGGCCCTCTTGGGGCTCTTTCGGGGCTCTCGTGGGGCCCTTGGGGGCCCTCCTGGGGGGCCTTTGGGACCATCGATCATGAGAGGGGGTTAATCTGAAATCGGGCCCGTGCCTCTACAGGAGGAGCATTCAGAAATGCTGAACAAATAGTCTGGGGACGTTTTTTCTATTGTTGTTGCTCTGGTTTGGTGTATTGTTTTTGTATTTTAAATATGTCGTCCAAAATACGCCTGTAGGGGGACATGCCCGACCTAAGGTTACTCGAGTACACGCCGGTCTTTGAAAGTAGGTATTTCTGGATTCCCAGATCCCAAACTACTCCAAACGCCTTCCCACTTCAAGAATCGGCACCCTTTTCCTGTGTTCTGCTGCTCTCTGGGGGGGCCTGGGCCCAGTCAGCTCAATCCGCCTTCCTACTTCATGCTTCTAGCTACTTCTTCCGACCGACGTGTATGGCCCCCCCCCCTCTCTGGTCGACTAGACGTAAGAGTGACCTTTCGCCGGAGTGACCTTTGGTGCGGGCGCAGATGGGCCCCCAGATGGCCGAAAACGAGGCAGGAGCAGCGGCTTTCGCCTTGGTGACGCCTCCGTAGCGGCCCCGCAAGAAGCCGTGCACCAAAGGTCACTCTTACCCAGTGCCACTCTTGCGTGTAGCTCGGGGGTGCACAGAACACCCAACAGTGACACGTCGATTAGTGAACTGTCCGTTTTTCGGTTCTCGAGAGGGCGCCGTGGCCGCTATTTTCCGGGCCTGCGCCCGCCAGGTTTAATCGGACGGCACCAACTATACACCAACACCGATCCTGGCCCAGGATCACCCTGGGCCCAGGATCGGTGTATATACCTTCTTGCGCAAGGCAGGAGGGCGTATACACCGATCCTGGGCCCAGGGTGATCCTGGCCAGGATCGGTGTTGGTGTATAGTTGGCGCCTTCCTAGGTTTGGGCCTCAGGTCGTTTTCACTAAACCACGTTTTACTAGAGAGGGGTCTGTCCATCCCCGAGTAGCCGATCTGGGCCCAGGCGTCGGTCCCTTGGGGGTGCTCTTCGGGCGGTCGTGGGCTCTCCCGGGGCCGCGCTGCGCACCCTCGCGGGGCCGCCTCGGGCAACCCCGCACCCGCCCTCGGGCCTCGAGAGCCCATCGGGGGTGACAAGAAGACATGTGCCCTTGAGTCGGGCCTATCCCCCCATCCAGGGGGAATATTCAAGCATGGACAAAACATAGCCTGGGGACGATTTTTGCGTGCTCTTTTCTGACCATCTTGGAGTACTGTTTGGATGTTTTTTTGTTGTTTGATATATATATATATATATATATTTCGTCGAAGATCCCCCTGTATGGGGGACACGCCCGACTTAGATGTACCCCAGAGTTCGTAATCAAAGGGATGGGGTCACCACCTTCCCAGACGAGAAGTTTTAGACCCCCCCCAGACCATCCATGAAAGGGCGGCCCTTTGCCCAGCCCCCCCGAGTCCTCCAAGACGGCTCAAATCAGACCCCCGCCCAAAATGTGACCCCCCCCCAATTTTGTGGAATCTGGAGCGGGCACCCACCACACATTGAACAGCACGGTGGTTTCACGATTTTTTGGCATCCTGGGGTCGTCCTTGGGGGGCTCGGAGGGCACTCGGGGCCGTCCTGGGCGAGCCTGAGGGCTCTTGGATGCATGTTGGAGGCTACCTTGAACCATCTTTGGGACATATTGAGCGATCTTTGAGGTCATGTTGGGCTCTCTGGGGCCCTCTTGGAGCCACCTGGTGCCAACATGGCCCTCTGACACCTCGCGGGGGGGGGGGTAGGGGGAAGTCCAGACCCATGGGGACAGGCGTGGTGGGATATGTCGCCTCACTTCCTTGTGTTACATGGATGGCACTGTAATTGCGATGTGGTCGGTGGAGAGGACACACGTCGGCCCCTACCACGCTCGTGCCCGCATTCTCCTCCGTCTTCTGCTCTTCCTCCAGAGGTGGGCCCAATGTCGCTTCGACGAGAACCGCCAGATGTTTGAGAAGAGCCAGCTGCGCTACCTCCATGACAAGGAAGGAATGCGGAGGTGGTGGCTGCGGAGGAGGATCTGGAGGAGGGGGCCTGGGGAGAGGTACCAGAAGGAGCTGAAGAGGGAGGACGTGGAGCAGGAGAGGGATGAGGAGGAGGATGAAAAGGAGGAGGAGGAGGAGGAGAAACGCAATGACATGCAATGGAACGAAATGGCATGCAGTGCGCTGCAATGTAAAGTAATGGAGTGGTGCGGAATGGGGTGGACTGGCATGGAACGGACTGGCATGGACACCTTCAGCGGTCAAGATAACACTAGCCAGCCTGGGAGCGCCCCCGGGAGTCGACCCGGCGCTCCAGCCCCAGGCTGGAGCCCCGAGGGGGCCAGGAAGGGGGGCCCCGGGAGGACGGGGCAACATCCTCGCTCCTCCTCCTCCTTCCTTTTCCTCCTCCTCCTCCTCCTCCTCCTCCTCCTCCTCCTCTTCCGCTTCTGGAACTGCAGCGGATGGTCCCAGAATCGGGGCCGCCGAAACCGGCGCGCCGCGCGCGCCGCCGCGGCCGGGCCGCGGGGCGCTCACAGCGCGAGGCGGGCCCTTCAGAGCGGGCGGCATGGGGATAGCTAGCCAGCTCCCCCACCCTGTTCCGCCGGCCGGAAGCATCGAAACCAGGCGGACAGGGCAGGGGCAGACCACCGCCAAACCCACGCCACCCCCCCCAAGGGCCCACCACGACACGACGGACGACGGGGACGACACGACAGACGACGACACGACGACGACGACGACGACGACGACGACGAAGACGACGGCGACGACGAAGACGACGACGACGACGACGACATACGACTCGACACGACGGGAGGACGGACCGCCAGTCCCGCCCCAAGGCGGCGAACACAGGGAGGGAACCGTGCGCCGCCCTGGGGGAGGCCCCGGGACCTGGCGGCCCCCCTTGGGAAGGAGACCCCGCTTATGGGGGCCGTCCCAGGGAGCGGGGGCTTTTCGCCCCTCGGGCCCGGCGCTCCCCGCCTGCGCCAGGAGGACCCTGGGGTCCCGACCCCTCCCCTACGGGAGGGGCCCCCTCGGGGCCCTCCTCCTCCCTCCTCCTCCTCCTCCTCCTCCTCCTCCTCCTCCTCCTCCTCCTCCTCCTCCTCCTCCTCCTCCTCCTCCTCCTCCTCCTCCTCCTCCTCCCCCGAGGGGTGCCCGGGAGGACGGGGCAACATGCGCGGGCCCCCCCCCGCCAACCCGTGCTGTCCCACGCGAGAGAGAGAGGACGCAGCCTCACGGCGCCAACATCGCAGAGCGGACTTCGCTCGGAAGACGGCAGGAGGAAGTGCGGCCTGTCCCTCTACTGAGGAATGCGCCGCATCGCCGATGGATCGCCGATGCCGTTCGATGTGCAGCCCGATTTGCTTCACGTCGACAGCACCGATGCATCGCCGACGTCGACGACGCATCGCAGGCGCATCGCGAATGCATCGCCGATCTATCCGCGATGCTGCGTGATCCTCCGACCTCATCTGCTCCGGCCCCCCTTAGGAGGCCCCTAAAGGGCACCTGCAGGAGGCGCGTCATCAGGTGCCAACGGCAACAGGGACGCAAAGGATGGTACTGGCGGGGCAGTTTGAGCAAGCACGCCTTCATTAGCGCGCTCTCGATGATGATCTTCCCTTGTGTCACCTTCGAGATGAGGAGCACGACCGTAGTCGTCAGGGACAGCCTTGCCCGACGAACTGGTCAGCAACAGCCGCAGCCCTTGCCGCCGCATCCTCGAGCCGTTCAGCTTCGGCGCGAAGGGGAGAGGAACTCCGCAACAATCATGATTTTTTCTTCGATCGGAGTGAGGAGAAGCGACACCATCATCAACAGGGGGGCCACCTCCAGCGAAGACGTCCACCATGCCTCCCCGAGCTGGGGGCTGGGGAAGTCTCGAGCGAAAGGGGGGACTACACCACCAGGGAGTCCCCCTTTGCTCTTCGCATCTCCTCTCCCTGGCGGTGTTGGTGTCGCCTTTCATTTTCTCTATTCGATCCTCTTGCCGAGAAGGATGGCTGGCCCGGCCCTAACTTGAAACAGCGATGGGCGCCATTCTCGGTGGCGAGTGGGGGGTGAAACGAGAAAAAAAGAGAGCCTTCTCAGAAGGCGGCTTAGCTCCTCCGAAACCTTCCCGCCTTCCGAGAGGTTTTCTGCGTCTTCGGAAAAAACTCAAAAACTTCCCAGAAGGCCGGGGGGCTTCTGAGCCTTCTCAGAAGGCCCGCCCCTTTTCACTTTCCCCCCGCGCGCGCCGCCGACACTTGACGTGGCGCCCGTTACTGCGGTGGCGCTGTTCGCGCCGGCGACGCGCAGCTCTGGACCAGCCGCCAGCGCGGGCGCCCGACATGGCACAGGGTTGGGCGTGGCGGGGGCAAGCGGGCGCCGCCAGGGAGGGCGGCGCCTGCCAAGAGGCGATGCCCAAACGCTGACGCAGGGGAGGCTTGACCCTGAACGGTCACCTGAAGGAAGAGGAAAAGGAAAAAGGGGAAGAACAGACAGGGAAAAGCAGGTGGAGAAGGAGGTAGTAGTAGTAGTAGTAGTAGTAGTAGTAGTAGTAGTAGTAGTAGTAGTAGTAGTAGTAGTAGTAGTAGTAGTAGTGGTAGTGGTAGTGGTAGTAGTGGTAGTAGTGGAGTAGTGGTAGTAATGGTAGTGGTAGTACTGGTGGTAGTGGTAGTGGTAGGGGTAGTGGTAGGGGTAGGGGTAGTGGTAGGGGTAGTGGTAGTGGTAGTGGTAGTGGTAGT